TGAAATTCAAATTTAAGTGAGCACCCTGTATTTCTATCTTGCAAACCTACCCAAGAGGCGGGATAGCATGGTGGTTCATTAAGAGCATATATTCTGCGTTCAAATCCCAGCTCTGCCCTTTACAGTGTGATATGGAGCAAATTTCAATCCTGTTGACCCTCAGTTTACTCCTGTGTAAAATGGGCATGATAAATTTACCCAGTGGGGCTGTTTTGAGGATTGAATGAATTAATGCATGTAAAGCCTTAGAACAATGCCTGGCACTAAATAAACATTAGTTGCACTTAATATTACTCTTAACCCCTTTCTTACCTAAGCCTCACACTAAAACGCAACACAGATAACCAAGAAAGAGCCATTGAATTCATCTTCTCCTCTGTCCAGTGTATTCTATGTGCTCACTTACCTGCTTACTAATACCCTTTCAAAGGGTAGCGATTTCCCACATTAATTTATTAATATACTGCCTGGAGTGGTAATTGATTTCTAGAGAATATTACGGACTTTGAGAAGCCCCACTTGAATGTGTATAGTTTCCCAAGCTGCCTACTGAAGTCATTCAGGTTGCTCTCATTATAATGAAACTAGCGGTATTTTTTGGTCACTCGTACTTTATGTTTCTGAACAAGTCTCACTACGGCCTGCTGATCCATGTAGCAGGTTTAAGGTCCCAGAACCCAGAGCTTTCAGTGCTGAAGCTGAAAGCCCCGGGCAAACCAGGTCGAGTTGACCACCCTAGTTTATAGCTAGATTATCTCAGATAGGATCCCTTGTAGCATAGAAAAGAGTGGAAGCTTCTCTCAGAGCCACTCTCAGTGTCACAGAAAGGAGGGAAAAGACTTTAGTTTTTAACCTTTCCCAGCTTCTGACCCTAGGGAGGGAGAACTCTGTGATCTAGGTCCTTTTTATTTAAAGCGTGGTCCTCAGACCAAAAATACAGCCATCGCCTGGGAGTTTGTTGGAACAGAAGAAACTCAGGCCCCACCTGAAACTCAACATTTGCATTTTAAGAAGACCCCATGACTTACATGCACAATATAGTTTGAGAGACATCAGTCTAGGTCATCTCTAGAAGTCCCTCACCTCCCCACGACCTCTCTGGCAGACATCATGCCCTTGCTTAAACCCAGAACATCTGCTTGCCATCATTGAACAGTCTAAATTGTTAAATCTTCATGCCCAAGATCTGTAGGTTAAGCCTCAATCCCCAAATGCCACGCCTGAATTCCAACCCCACCTCCTCTGGTGACACAACCAGATTGTTCTCCAGTACCTGAAAATGACCACATGGTTTTTTTTCCTAGTCTCCGTGGTATGTGAAATGCTTCCAGTGTTTTGTAATATTAGGGTTTCCATCCCACTCTTCTCTCAGAGCTCACTATAGCTTTAGAGCCCTTCTCACTTTGTGGGAAAAAAAACAAAGAAAGCATCTCCTTCCTTTTCCCAAAGGAACTTTGGGCCATCTGGTGCTGGGATAACAAGCAGATATTCCGTGCCATGGAGCACTGTTGGAAAACACATGTCATCTGGGCAGTTTTTTCCTGTTGGAAGCGTACTTAACTTGCACTGATCTTTTGCAGTTTCTGAGAGCAAGGCTCTGTGCCACCCCTCGTCTGTGGACTCTCTCTCCACCAGCGCGGCCACGGAAGACCACGTCTCCATGGGGGGATGGGCAGCAAGGAAAGCCCTCAGGGTCATTGAGCACGTGGAGCAAGGTAACCCCAGCCAGTCCGGGTGGCAGGCCTGGCCAGTAAACAACGATGCCAGTGATCCTCAGAGTGGAATCTCCACCAGCCCCATCAGCATCATCTGGCAACTTGTTAGACATTCTCAAGCCCCTCCTTAGCCCAAACAACTGAATCAGAAGCTGTAGGGAGGACAGCAGTACAAGCTGGGTGTAACAAGCCCTCCAGGTGATTCTGATGCTTGCTNGAGATATCGGCTGGCTCCGATACTGGATATTATGGGAGTTAACTTCTAATTGTTGTAATCTAATAGCCAGCAAATTTGGAGCAACTAAAGAACAACAGAACATGCTTAACACATTGAGGACAGGGCATTTAAATTGTTTAAATACATATTCCTGGGGTTTAAACCATTGAAATCAACTTTTGTACTTTGTTTCTTTAAAAAATTATAACAAATTTGCTAACTATTTTTGTGAACTGAAAATTTCAAGAAATACTCACCAAAGACCCTAGTAGTGCTTGAGGGTGTGATACCTCTGGAAACATTCTTCCTTCGTGTATAGACACAAATCTGTGTCACCGGTCCACAGTGTGTTAAGTCTCAAATTAGTGCCAAGATCACTTGCTATAAGGATTCAGAGAATGGAGAGAAGACCAAGGCCTGTGGTTGGGGTGGGTTCACGGAGAAGAGCGGGAGCGAGGCCTAAGAGGCTCATGGTTATACGTACAGAAAAGGGTGATTCCAAATTTGACTAAGTTAATGTGACACATGCAACTCAGGCTCTTTGGGAGTCAGGCCCCTTCTCACACAGAGTGAGTTCCTAGTTAATAGGCGGTAAATATTCTTTAGCCCAGTAGGTGAAAATTAGCTCTTTGGAACCTAGAAGGTGTGTGTGTGTATGTGGGGGGGTCTGTTATTGCCTTTGTCTGGGTGCCTGTTGGTTTCAGTAAAGTGCATGATAGAATGGAATGATCCCTGAGAATACTAATATTCAGTGAGTCTGACTTAAATGGGTTTAGGATGACCTTTTGGCCGCCATTGCTGTGATCACTGAGTAGAGAATTTGAAAGTTCTCCCAGAATCAATTGTTCCAGACAGTTTGGTCATCAACAAAGTCTTCCATTCAGCAGGTTCTTCTATGGAGCACAAACTCACAGCGCCCATTGAAAAAACAGAGTTTACTCTTGAATAGATGTCCTGGTCGCTGTTGCTAGTTTTAGGTTATAAACTTTTAGAGGGCAAGCACTAATCACCAGATTAGTACAGTTATGGTGCTTGAGAATCTCTCATCTCAAGAGAGAACATCGTTTCATGCCTCATGTTTCTTTGACTCCCAGTTGCATATACACAACTCATCTTTAAGGTTGTTTTGTTTTGTTTATTTGTTTGTGTGTATCCCTTTATGTCAACAACTGCTTGTGGAGGGACTCTCCTTCCACATTTTATAAGGGCTGCTACTTCAATGTTAAAAATAAGCAGATTGGGGAGTTATACTTGCAGCGATCAGCAAATGTTATGTTCAAGCCTTAACCTACTTTGAAAGATGGTTTTTGCCAACAGGGGAGAGACCATTTCTGGAGGAAACTTCCATGGTGAATACCCAGCCAAAGTAAGCTTTTTAGAATTGCTCCTGACCCCAAAAGCTTATTCCAATATAGGCCAACTGAATTGAGAAACTCTTTCAGGCCCTGGACTATTTGGCCATTGGTGTCCATGAACTTGCTGCGATTAGCGAAAGAAGAATTGAAAGGCT